TTCTTCCTGCCGACAGTTCCCGGACTCACGCCTCGATTTGCGACGCAAACACAAACCGAGCACGAAACACAGGTAACATATGCCTGGGACCCGCTCACATCGGGACCCGAGTATGTTTTAGTCCAAACTGAGGATGTGCACTTTAATCATGTGTAAATAAAGTCGTGTTTCCTGTGTCTCAGTCTAAGGTGCTGAACTGGGGCGTGCTCTCTCAGAGGTCAGAGTTCATCTGCACTCTGGAGTCAGCTCTGACCACGGGATCATGTGAGTTGGGACAGGATTGGCTCACCTTCATGCTTTTAATTTTTAATACTAAAATCTAAAGCTGGTATTTAATCAGAATTTCAAAATAAAAGCTGCTTACTGAGCTGACAGAAAAACAAAATTAACGATAAAGAAAGAAAACAGCTTAATTTTTTTATACCTGAGGAGAGTCTGTAATGACAGTAACTGAATCAATTATCCAGTGATTGATTAAGACGTTTTTGTGGTTTTTAGTCCATATCTGATATTGTCCGTAACATTATACTTTTGTATTTTATCAGAGTATAGATAGATGGTTTTCATCAAAGTTTGAAACACAAACCTGAGTTCTGATCAGAGATCAATACTCTCTCTGCAGTTGATCAGCCGCTGCGTCTCCTGAAGGATTGTGGGCCAGCGGCGCTCTCTGTTGAGCTCAACTCTCTGGCTCCAGAGGGGGGTGGAGCCAGAGAGCTCCTGCTAGTGTTCATTCAGATGATTGACAGCATGTTGGCCAGTGGGCGGGACTTTGACCTGGCCCACGCTTACCTGGCGCTCTTCCTAAAGGTTAGCCAATCAGAACACACTCGTCACTGTGCCATCTTTTATTGTGGAAGTCTCTTCACGATTTCCTGCTAACTTTTTTTGTTTTGTTTTTTTTAGCTCCATCTTCGCTCTTTATCACAGGATGCCATCGCCATGGAAGCTTTGAACCACCTCTTGTCCCGGTTGGAGAAAAGTTGGGCGGAGCTACAAGCATCATTTGACCAATCGTTATGTCTGCTTTCATACGCAAAGAGCGCCCTGCTGTGACACACATACATACACTTTTTGTATTCTAATAAATTTGTTTTGGATTCTTCTTCTGTGTTTTTATTTCAACCATTCAATGAATCTTCTTAATGAAAGATTTCAGTGCTGATGTGCTTTTCTTCATCACTTTCCTAATGCATGATCTCAATGGCAACATCTCAAGCTAAAGGAGAATAAACGAGAGGTTTGGTGTTTGAAGTACACAGTGGATGTCTGCCTTATAAAAACTACAATATCCAGAAATTGGACTACAAAATGCATACCTTCACTCAAATGTTTTTACTGAGATGTTTGAGCAGTTTTTATAAACGTGACATTCAGAGTTCAGTTGTGGGTTCATCAGCCTTTCAGGAAATAAAAAAACACCATTAATGAACATCTTTGTGATCTGAGTCTGTCTCATGAACATTTCTGTGGATTATGGGATGGTATCATCTCCTATTGCAAATAGTATGTAATAATAGAATAAAATTAAAATGGTAAATGGCCTGTATTTGTATAGTGCTTTACTTAGTGCCTAAGGACCCCAAAGCGCTTTACACATCCAGTCATCCACCCATTCACACACTAGTGATGGCAAGCTACATTGTAGCCACAGCTGCCCTCAGGCGCGCTGACAGAGGCGAGGCTGCTGGACACTGGCACCACCGGGCCTTCTGACCACCACCAGTAGGGAACGGGTCAAGTGTCTTGCCCAAGGACACAACGACTGAGACTGTTGGAGCCGGGGCTTGAACCGGCAACCTTCCGATTACAAGATAAACTGCCAACTCTTGAGCCACGATCGCCCGGAAACATAAACCTTTAATTGTCCCACAGGGGGAAATTTGGTTGTAACAGCAGCAAAAAAAAACAAAAAACCACATATACATACAGAACAGGACATAAAATTTTTACATATTTACACAATCTGCACTTTTGTGTATTGTACCTCTGCATTAAAAAGTGACATGTAACTTCCAATAAGTTAGTATATATAAACTGAGAAAAGTAATGTGCAATAAAGGGAGAATAGAAGCTGCTTATGTCAGAATTTAGGATTTGAGCATCTCTGATTGAGGCTGCAGAGACTTTGAACCTCAGTTGCTCCACCCGAGAAGTGGAAGTGGCCAAGCATGTGACACCTGCTCTTCTTGTCTAGCTTTTGCTCCTTCTGATAAGCATGTTTTTTTTTAAATGATTCCCGTTCATGCGCACATTTACCATCACGCATACATGACAGGCACCACTGACACCCGACACTTTCACATGTGAAGTACAGTTTCTTTAAACAAAATGTGTTTTCAGGTAAAGAAGGAAATCTTTTCATAGTAGTGTCAGGAACAGTGGATGAATAAACCCCTTTGAGTCCGCCGTGTACAAACAGAGCATGTGTCTGTATTATCAAGGACATATTTACACACATTTGAGAAGCAGTTCTACACACCAATATTTGTATGGGAGAGTGAAAACATTCTACATTAAGAGCTCGTTCAGTCCTTTTCTGTGTAAATGCCATTATTGTTCTGGGACTGAGGGATGTTCTGATGGAGGAGTGTTGAATTTTTAAAATCCCAGATTGAAATGCTGTTGTCAGCTGTTATGCTGTAGTTGGTTAACGTTACAGCGTAGTCGCTTAAATCTGAACTATAGTGTGATAAATATTTAACTTGAGCGACAGTTACAGTCACCACGAGCTGTTCATAATTAAAAAGCTGTTCCATAAACATGTTTTCAGACCAATGAAGATGTTTTCTGTGTGTGATGGTAATATTGTTCCATATCAAACATCTGGGAGGAGAACAGCTGTGCTGGTGCAGAACACCAAAGAAAAACATCTGCAAACATTGGCATTTCTGGGTAGAGCCACAGGAGTCGCCCCCTGCTGAACACTATTTTCACACATTGGGAACATAAAAAGTTTTTTACATTAGAAAAGTTTCCCGATGAACACAGAAATGTTTTAATTATTCAACAGGTTCCCAACAATCAGAGAACACCTCTGAACAATGAAACGAGCATAAAACAGAGCCACCTTTGTTTTTCTTTCAGAACGTATTAAACAAAGAATGTTACTGAACAAAGATCTGTTCCCAATGTGAGCAGGTGACAATAAACAAAAAAAAAGATAAACATAAAGGTATAAACAATGATATAAAGTATTTTAGTGATATTCAAGAAAGTTGCAATCTGCTTAGTGAAAAAAGTCAAATATAACACCACGTGACTCAACGGAAGTGACGTCGTGCTGAGTAAGCTCAACCAAGCAGGAAGGAAAACAAACAGCAGTGCGCAGGCGCAGCAGCAGAACCAGGCTGGTCTGACTCTGCCAAAAGTCCGAACTTTATTTTTGTTCGATTTTAAGAAACTTTTAATTTATTGATTGTTTTTTATTCGGCTCGTTTTCGCGGGAGGCTGAGGTCACGCAGTGTCGTCATTGCGCACGTAAACTGCGGCACGAGACGCAGGGAGAGCGCGAGACCCGCCAGCGTTTGTACCACCCGGAAGTAAGGAAGGAAAAGTCTGAGTGGAAGTTAGTAAAGTTTGATGAATTTTCTGTCGGAGGTTCTTAGACCTGCAGCGGAAAGCATCAGGTGAGCCGGCAGGTGAAAATATTCTAAATTATTTCTATTGGTCAGTTTTACTGCTGCGTGACAAGTTTGACTTAAAGAGCAGCTGTTTGGTCTCCGGAGAGCTGACGGGCAGATTTTACTGTAGGAGACGTGTGAAAGTTTCCTGTGAGCAGGAAAATTGTGAAACATCCACAGAAACCCTGCAGACTTGCGCAGTTTATCCGAGCTCGGAAACTCACCTGTTCATCACGTGCTCACCTTTTAATGTCCCACAGAGGGAATGACACTCTGCTGCTGTACACGAGACACGAGGACAGGACATAAAACCAGTGAACACATCAAATAATACAACATAAAACACGTGGGAAACCTCAGAGTTTAGACAAATAATGTAAACTTAAAGAAAAAACACACACTTAAACAAACGTAACTTTATGGGTCATGCTCTGTGAGCGCTTCAATACTGTGCTTTCTCCTTCATGTGCACTAAAAAGTGAAAAGTCTGCACATATTAAATTTCTTCAAACGCGCCTTTAAACTCGGAGTTTGGAGCCAGAGGATGTTCTCCAGATGTGCGTCACATGATGCTTCGTTTCCTGTTCGCTAGTAAAGTTTTTGGCAGGAAATTTGTGCTTTTTTAAATGAATCAGCTTACAGAAAACAGAGAAACCAGACAGCAGCTGACAACATAAAGACTAAATATAACACAGCGAGTCTCACATTTAACTCTTTCCTCCTGAAAGTGTGCTAGGAGGAACCATTGAAGCTTTTTTCTGAACCATCACATTTCGGAACAAAATGACTGGATGTGTACAAGCTACTCTGGGGCGTACAGAGGAGGGCGTCAGATGTCGACTTTATGGGAGAAAAGCTTAAAAACGTTCAAACAGCCAGGTAAACGGTCTGTAATGTGCTGTAACTCACTCTCCGCTTTGGAGTGCACAGCTGGATCCTAGAGGAGGACTTCTGAGAGTCCGGCCTGTTTTTCCTGCACTGTGATTAATGATAATATTTTGATGTAAATGTTTTTATCTGTGTAAAGGAAAATTCAAATGTCAGACAGCAGGTTGTACTTTATATTTGAAGCAGAGATTCTGCGTCATTTACTAATGATTATTAATAAGGTTTCAGTTCATTTTCTGCCTGCTCAGACTCTCTCTGCTCTCCTCTGCATGTTTGCTTTTAAATGTGTAAAGAGTTAAACTTAATACTCATATCAGATGATTTTATTTAAGTTAAGTTGAGTTTTTACCTCGGTTAAATTTCTTTATTACACTCTGGACTTTATCATCATCATCATTACTGTTTACAGCACAGTTTGTAGAACTAGTAGCAACTTCATGAAGAAAAGTTCCAACTGTGCAAAAAAGTGAGTGTGTGTGTTTTTTTTCTTGTTAACTCATTCACTGCCAGCCATTGGCAGTGAATGAGTTAAACCCGTTGACTCATTCACTGCCATTGACGGCTATAGCCAATGGCAGTGAATGAGTTAATAATATCAGCAGCAGTGCAGTAACCCTCCTGAACTCTATTAATGTCTAAAAACTTAGCCTGACTCCTCCCTCAGAGCTAACCTGCTGGTTTTGAGACTGAAAACTTTGCTTTTATGGAAATGACTGATCTTCCTGGACTGAGCAGTGACACAGAAATGAAAAACAGGTTCAGGAAAAGTAAAAAAAAAAAAAGTTATTTCAGCAGAAACTCTGAGTTCACTGTCCTCAGGAAGGAAAGTGCTCACATCTGCACGGACAGATGGAAACATCCAGATCTCTGAAGGTCTCCGATATTTAAAAGCCCCAGCATGTTTAAAACGGAGTTTTCTTAGATCTTCTGATCATATCTTTTATTTCTTTAAAGATTCCCCCCTTTCTTTTTTATTTTTTAAAGGGAAGGACTATGAAATTCATCCTGCAACATGACTGACTTCCTGTTGTATGTTATGCAAAGCAGAGGACAAGTAAAGCGAGTCAGGAGAATTGCACAGAATTCATTAACAAGTCAAAAATCGCCTCTGTGAGCTGAGCCGCTCCGTTTGATCCATGGAGGCAGCGTCACTTCCAGACTAAGAAATCATGACTGAGTGTTTTCAGATGCTATCTCATAGCCTTAGATCTGAACACCTGCAGCTTTCATGTGATTGGTCCTTTTCTTCTTTGTATTTGTGGCCATAAACGCTTTAATTATCGGCTAATAGTCTGTCATCAGTGTCAGCCAGTCAGGAAGCATTCAGCCCTCCTGCAGGAAGAGGTCACGCCAGGTGAAGCGACTGCTTTAACCTCCAGATCTACAGAAGAACAAAAACAGGAACCATGTGTTAGACTGCCAGGTCAGCCTGGGGTTCACCTGTCAGGTGTCCTACCTGTCGGGCAGACCCTGTCCATCTGTTGTGGTCCCATTGGTCACAGGGTCTGTGGAGTCTTTAAAGAGGTCAGACAGTGAATTAACACATCAAGCCTAAAAGTAGTCTGATTACTCTGCGGCACTAACATAGAGATGATCGTAAACTTCTGGGCCGATGCAGGCGGTTAGAAGATCAGTAATTTATTTTTAGTTTGTTTATTTTAGTCCCTCTGAACTCTTGAGGAGTGAAACATTACAGAAATAAGTCCTTCAGCTCTCTGAACATTTAACCGGTGCAGCTGTGAGAGCAGACAGCTGCTGGGCACTGATAAGAAAACATCAGTCAATAATTCTCATATCAGCTCTGAAATATTTACTTTGACAAACGGACTCTGAGGTTCAAAGTCTCCACAGTCTGTTTGTGCTGACCTGACTTTAAACTGTGTTTCCTGCTCAGAACGAGCCTCGACTGCACCGCTAAGCATGAACGATCAACCTGTTGTTTTATCAGTGAAATTAAATTAAATAATTTTATTTGGTCATTTTTAATACATTTCCAGCATCGAGCTCATGAGCCTGATTATTTTTGCACATGCACATTATAAAATAAGTGTAATGTATAAAAATTATTACATGACATACAACTTACAGTTTTCCTAAAAATCAAAGCAGAAATTATTGGAAAAAAAAAAAGTTAACTGATAGAAAATGTGTTTCTTTGTTGTCATAGCGATGAAGAGGAGTCGGATGTTGGCGGTTCTGGTGGGCGGAATCTTCTGCGTGGCTGTGATGTCACTGTACCGCATGCTGGACCTCATGCAGGGGTCAGAGTCTAAGCGATATGGGGAGCCACCTGGTGGACAGGTGGATGAGGTGCGTCCATAAGAGTTTTAATTCTTTTCAAAATAAGAGCCTGTGGATTTTCAAAATAGTGTCATTTGTGAGAAAGAAAATTTTAACTCTTTTTTTTTTTCACATTAACTTAAATTTTCTTTTTAGCTGTGATTCTTGTTATTATTCATAATAATAATAATAAAAATAAAATTGGCCCATAACAACAACAACAACAACAATAATAATAATAATAATAATAATAAGTGGTAGTGGTAACTTTTAAAATTATATAAATATTTCATTACCAAGGAAAGAGAAACAAATTCAAACTAATTATAAAAATTGAACCAATCAGATCTCTGGGGTTTTTTAGGATTTGGCCCACCTCCAGCAGAAGATCGACGGGTTGGAGCGTCTCCTTAGCGACAACAACCGATTGGTTGCCATGCTCCGTGACACTCTGCTCCAAAGCAAAGCATCAGCGTGGAAAAGAGCCAACAACAGTATAGACTCCGCCCTCGGCAGGAGGGGTGAGGCTCTTCCTGGCTGCCGATTGGCTAAAGAGATGAAGGATGGAGTGGACGGAGTTCAGGTCTGCAAAATTTTACATTTATATTTTGTTCTGTCTCAACTTTAGAAGATTTAACTGACAACATTTACTCAAGTTTTTCAGTTTTTAATTTTTTATTACTTTTTATTTAAAGATGCTGATATCAACACTTTATCAAACGGGAACCAGCAGTTTAACGTGTGACTAACATGGCGTTGGCGTGGATCGGCTGTAATGTCAAATGAATCAAACACTTATTTAAGATAAAATTTATTGATCTTAAAAGTATTTGACCCTGAACACAGGCAGATATGGTTAGCATGTTTAGCATGTAGCTGCTAAATAAATAAAAAAGTAAATCAATGATGTTCAGCATCCAAACACAGGCTCAGGGAATCTTTCAGAACACACTGGTGTGGATGTAAACGAGCAGCTCGCACACACTGTGTCAGTTTCATGGATGTGTTCGTGCTTCCTGTTTACCTTTGGTTCCTTGACGTCACAGTTACGTGATTCTGGTTTGGCGCCTCAGGTGAATACACTGTGAAAGTTCATCCTCCTCACATACTAACACACATTCTGATCTCTGTAGATTATAATACACTAAACTATGAAAGTTACACTGGCACACATCCAGCCTGTAAGGACAGAAATGTCCTTTTTTCACTCTCTGAATATCTAGAATAGCATCCCAGCAAATATTTTTATGCAGAGTAACGGTTGTTTGAGTGTGTCCACCTCTAGTTTGAAAAGTCATGCTGACATCAGAGGGGTTACCTCACTGTCTGCTGGACATCCTCCTTGGACTTCCTGTGTTTGAGAATTGTCTCCTTTTATTGATTAGAACAAAATTAAATAAAAGAAGCTTGATGAGAACAGCTTGAAGGGTTCATAGTGCTGGAGTCTGGAGACAGAGAGTTTCTCTTATTGATCAAATCATGATAAAATCATCAGATGGATACATTAATAATGATTTTATTTTTTAGTTTAAATGGGTTTCATAAGTTTGAATGAAGAACTGAAAGTTACAATAAATATAAATATTCAAAGGAAAACGTGTGTAAATCTTTATTAACATATTCAAAGTTTTTATTAACATAGAAATAAAGTTTTAATAATAACCCCTCCTCCATCAGCTGCTGGATGTTTATGACCTCCTGCCCTTCGATAACCCCGATGGCGGTCCCTGGAAGCAGGGCTTTGAGATCACTTACAAGGGCGACGAGTGGTCGGAGCAACCTCTGGAGCTCTTCCTGATTCCACATTCACACAACGACCCTGGTGAGTGAGACTCTGAGACTCTGATGGCGTGACGGTGGCTGAACTAACACGTGAAGGTGATTTGGTTTTTTTTTGTTCTTGTTGTCACAGGCTGGATAAAGACGTTCGACGCGTACTACCACGACCAGACGAGACACATCCTCGACAACATGGTGGTCAAACTGAGCGAGGACAGCAGGTACGCCCACTTCCTGTGCACTGACGCGCCTCACAGACGGCTTCCTAAACCTAACACTAAAGTCAGGTTTAATATTAAAGCAGCATTTATCAGCAGATTTGCATCTTATTATATTAATGTTTTTATTAACCACAGAGAAGGTTTAGAGGTTAAAATCAACCTTCATAACCAGGCTAGCTGAAAACAACCCCACCCAACATTCTGTTCTCTGATGGTGTAAATGTATTTATTTATGTGTTTTTTTTTCTTTGGTTTTCCCACCATGACACAGAAATTAGATCATTTTAGACACCTGTTAAAAATGTTTGGAGCTTTCAGAGTTTTATAAAAAAGTATGATGTGAAGTATGAGTTTTGCCATCATCCAATGAGATCAGGAATAAAATACAAATCAGACTGACGATAAAACAACAACAATAAAACACAAAAACAAAATCATGACGTGAAACAAAGACACAGCAGCACAGACTGATGTTGGTTTGACTCTGAATAGGAAGAAATGATCTTCATATTTTTCCAAAATAAAACTTATTTACATTAAGTTCATCAGAAGTTTGATTTCTTTATCAGTTTGTGCTTCGTGATGCTGTTTATTGATCGAGTTCCTGACAGATTATCGATCATGTCATGTTTTCTGCTCCTCAGGAGGAAGTTAATCTGGGCTGAAATCAGTTATTTCTCCAAGTGGTGGAACGACATCGACGACCAGAAGAGAGCAGCAGTCAAACGGTAACTTCTCCTCAAGCTTCCTTTCATTTTCATGTTTGTTTGGGTTTTTTTTTGTTTGGTTGGTTGTTGTTGTTTTTTTCCAGTCATTTCTGAACATGTCCAGAAAAACCAAAAGTAATTATTCTTCATTTCTTTTTCTGAAAATTAACCAATGTTGTTTAAATACCAGAAACATCTGGAAAACAAGAGGAAGCACAAAAATAAAATGAAGTGATAAACACAGGCAAGGATGTGCAGAGCACATATCTGATATATCTGATGCCATTTCCCCCCTCTCTCTAGTCTGAGCGTCTGCTTTGAGTCTCATCTCTTTATAACATGCTGCAGACACCAGCCTCCATCCAAAAACCCAGCAGTCATCATTCTCGTCCTCTCTAGCTTTTTATCAGCACTGTTCATGTGCAGCTCGTCTGTATGCTCAGTTTTTAAAATCACAGCCCATCACAGCTTCCCAAATATTTGAAGGATTCAGAAGATTTCAGTGGACATGAAGCTCAGGATCAGGACTTTCTAATATAAACATAAAGCGCTCAGCAGCAGATTAATAACAACCTCGTGCTGTGGGGCAATCCTCTCAGACCTTCTCTTTTTTGAACATTGGGTCTGTTTTCAGCAACTACTTCCTGTCTTGTGATGGCAGCTGTTAAAACAGTTTAACCCTCATCCTCTATCTTCATTAATGCTAATGTGTTAATGTTAGTCTAACCAGAGCTCTGTAGCTAACCATCAAGTAGCATAATGTCAGCTAGCATGACTTCACTGACCCTCCAGACATGGCTGCGGTGTAGTTTTCTTCCTCTTTTACAACCAGATTGATATCAGTGCCTTTCAGTTTTGTTGAAATCCTTCAGTCAGACCGTCGTACAAGATGTCATCCTTAGATGGATGCTAACCCCAGAAAATTGTGGCTGTCTGAATGTTAAACTTTATTGTAACAGCTGGGAGGAAAAAAACAGAAGCAGACTTTATTTTTTTAAACTATAACTAAAATTGTAAGCTGTTTCTTGCTTATTCTGAATTTTCCTTTCAGTTTAATTTCAATTTTTCTCTTATGTCATATTTCCTTTAAAAGAAAAACTTGTAAGTTTTAACCTGCTTAAATAAATGTAACTACATTCTTTTCTGTTAATTTTTGTAATTAAAAAAAATATATATTTTCATCATTTGAAGCCATTTTTTCCCCTGTTTTCTGTTTCCTTTCGTGTGATTGGCCAGCCTGGTGGAGGCGGGGCAGTTGGAGCTGGTAACGGGCGGCTGGGTGATGCCCGATGAGGCAAACTCTCATTACTTCGCTATGCTGGATCAGCTGATGGAGGGACACCAGTGGCTGCAGAAACACCTGGGTCACATGACTCCCCTGTTTGGCACGTTGTTGTGATGATGTGTTTCCTGTTCGCGTGCTTAACCGTGGCGTTTTCTCTGTGCAGGTGTGAAGCCGAGGAGCGGCTGGGCCATCGACCCATTTGGCCACTCCCCCTCTATGGCGTACCTGCTTAAGGGGGCGGGGCTTCACAACATGCTCATCCAGAGAGTTCACTACTCTATCAAGAAGCACTTTGCCCAGCAACAGACCCTCGAGTTTCTATGGCGACAAAGCTGGGGTAAATAATGTTTTTTCAGTGATGGAAAAATTTATCATGAACAATACAAAACATTTGGAATTTTGACAAATATTTGAAATAATAATTTAAATGATTAAATATTGTAAGTCATTTAAAAATGTGGATTAAATTCAGATTTTTATTAAATTTTTTAATTTAATGGTGTTACTGAAGAAAATATAGTCAAAAAACTTTATTAATAACCAATGAAATACCAAAAGGAAAAGGGGCAGTTAGAGTGTTTAACTCTGCCCACTTCCTGTCCATCAGACTCCTCCTCCCGTAGTGACATCACATGTCACATGATGCCCTTCTACAGCTATGATGTGCCGCACACGTGCGGTCCAAACCCAGCGGTCTGCTGTCAGTTTGACTTCCAGCGGTTGCCTGGGAGACGGACCTTCTGTCCATGGAAGATCCCACCAAAGCCAATCACAGACCAGAATGTCCATGAGAGGTGAGCAGGAAGCGGGGCCAAAGAGAATAACAATATTATTATTATTCTGTTATTATTATTATTATTATTATTATTATTATTATTATTATTATTATTATTATTATTATTATCATCATCATCATTAGGTGTATTATTGAATTTTGGAGCTTTCTTCTTTTTAAAAGAAGGGTTATTTTATTTTATTTTACTTTCATTTTTAAGGAATTTTCGTGATTCATTTATTTATTTACCATTCAAATTTAGGCACCTTTTAAAATTGTTTTAAACTTTTTTTTTTTTACATTAAGCAATTTTATTGAAAATAAATTGAAATTTTTTATTCAAAACTGTTTCATGGATGTTTTATGTTTTAACATAATTTCCACCTTTTTAAGTTTTTTTATTTTTCTTCCTTTGAACTTTTTTCTTGACATTTTAAATTTTGATTGCTTTTTTAATCTTTTTTAGTTTTATTTTCCTTTTCTTCTTTTAATTTTTCCTTGACATTTTCTTTTTTTTAACCTTTACTTTGAATTTCAGGTATTCTAAGTAGAGTAAAGGTTATTGTATTATCATTGTCATTTTCTAGAATGACAGTGATAATACAAATAGTTTTCTAACAAACTTCATTAATTTAACATAGCAGCTTCTCTTCTTCTTCGGTTACTTTGCTGTATTTCTGCTAGTTTTGTTGTTAATAATCACTCTGATTGATCAGAGCTTCTATTGATCCACCTGTCGTCCTCTCAGAGCGCTCCTCCTGCTGGATCAATACCGTCAGAAGTCGCGACTCTTTCGCTCATCTGTCCTTCTTGTTCCTCTTGGCGATGACTTTCGATACGTTGAGTCAAGAGAGTGGGACGTTCAGTTCAACAACTACCAGAAACTCTTTGATTACTTCAACCAGCACCCAGAGCTCCACATCAAGGTGAGCTCCCAGGACACCTGGTTCCCAGGTGGGACCAACTGATTATCAACATTTGGAGACATTATGTTGGTCTTTGCTGTTCTTGAAGAGGCCCGAGTATACAGCCATGTGGAACTCCACGTGTGATTTTTGCCTGCTAATATTTATCATTACTGCCTGACAAATAGGTTTCTCTTTGCAAAAATGACTCAGACAAACTTGACGCAGTTCCACAGGGTCTCGATCACTTTTCTAGAATATTTTATTTTATTTTCCATTTGTTGAATGTCACGCTAATATCCAGTAAATACCCATGCAAAAGAGTTTTTTTTTAAATTATTATTATAATGAATCACAACTCTGGCCATTGTTGTTTCAAAAATTGATGTGATTTAAAAACTATCAGTGTGCTTATGTCTCATGTGAAAAATGGCAAACACAAATATGATTCATGATATCTAAAATATTCTGAAACAACATCTGGACATACAATACAAAAGTGACAAAGAAAGCAAATGAGGTTGTTATCAGTGCAAACAGTCAAGTCAGCAACATCAGCTCTTCGCTGATCGACAGCTTTCCTCTTCTCTTATTTTCAGGCTCGTTTCGGGACGCTTTCTGATTACTTCCAGGCTCTTCATCGGCGTCTGAGCACCACGAGAACGACTCTGCCGAAGCTCCGAGGAGACTTCTTCTCGTATGCCGACCGAGACGATCACTACTGGACCGGGTACTTCACATCCCGGCCATTTTACAAACGCCTTGACAGGAAGCTGGAGGCCACGCTGAGGTACCGCCGCTCTGTGTGGTTACACGATACAGATCATGATGTTGTCTTTATTTTTATGGTGACTGTCTGAGTCTTCTTTCTGTGTCAGAGCAACAGAAATCCTCTTCAGCCTGACACTGGCTGAGATGCGTCGTTCCCATAGCGATGGTCGTCTGGCTGAAAATTTTCCAGCACGTGAGTACTTCCAGTGGCTGACAACGGGGAGGCGGAACCTGGCGCTCTTCCAACACCATGACGCCGTCGCTGGCACCGAACGGGAGCATGTGGTGGTTGACTATGGTACCAGGTAGTTACTTCATGTTAGCAAAGTAGCATGTTAAGATAATCGGGAAATAAAAGCAATACATTTAACTTATTAAAAGGTCAATCAAACACAAACAGAGCATTAATCTCTGCCGTGTGAAAGAACAGCCAGGTAAACGTTGAAGTTTGCAGTAGACACATTAGCAAGGAGGGTGGAATAATAGAAGAAAATATGTACAGCACTTTCTGTAGTGAATTGCTTTTATAACTTTTTTAAACTGACAAAAATGACCTGAGAAAATACAAAATACGGTGTTTAAATAATGATATCTAAATGATTTCATTTATTAAGGGAAAACTGCTGATCTGTTCCTGTGTTTAAAAAAAAAAAAAAGTGAAATAATTGCTCCCTAAACCTAATAACTGATTCTGCCAGCCTTGGCAGCAAGAACTGGAATGTAGCATTTGAGATAAAGTCTTGTTTTTCCCTTTTATCATAAGAAGTGATAGTGTTGGCCCATTCCTCTTTGCAGAATTGTAATAATTCAGCTACACTGCAGGGTTTCCTAACATGAACGGTCACCCAAAAAATTAGATTTTGTTTTGAGTCAGAGGGGTGAGTTGCTAGCGTGTTTTGGATCATTGTCTTGCTGCATAACCCACAAATGTGTGGTTTTATTAATTACAGCAACTCGCACAGGTCCCAAAGGACCAAAGCAGCCCAGACCGTCACACTACCACCCCCATCTGTTGCTCTGTTGATCTTTTTATGAAGTGCTGTTAGTTTGATGCCAGATGTAATGGAACGGAATCAAGGTGCAGCTTTTCTTCCCCCCACAGAGTATTTTCCCAGCAATCTTGGGATCATCCATATGTTTTCTGGCATATGTGAGACAAGCCTTTTTGGTAGAAGTGGTTTTCCTCTAGAATTCTCCCGTGAGATCCTTTAGCCTGCTTCAGTTTGTAAAACAGTTTCTGTTTAAGTGAGTTCTGATTCAGCAGGTCTACCAGGAGTCAGGTCTGCGAGTGGCAGTGAAACTGAGCTCAACTTTCCAAAAAATGTGCTCAATCACAGTTACTTCATAATTAAACAAGAGGGATAATTACTTTTTCACACAGGATAACATTTTTTCTTAATAAATAAAGTTATAATTTAAACAGATTCATTTTCTATTTAAACAAATTGCCTAATATCAAAATTTGTTAAACATGTAAGTGTAACAAAACTGCAAAGAAATATTAGGTATGGGGAAAAAATACCTTTTCACAGCACATCAGTGTTAGCATCACCTGTATCTGTGTATTATTTTTAGCATTAGCCTGTTTTTTTTTTGTCTCATTTGTTTCCTCCATGCTTTCTGTTGAAGGACGGCGTCGCCACTGGCAACGGTAACAGGTACCACCACATCTAGTGTGTGCAGTTAGCATTTAGCATTAGCCTCCCATGACACCCATTCATCTAGATTTAGCATCTAACACTAATAGTCCATCGCTCCTGTTAAATAAGCGTGTTGCTGGCATGTTTTTGCCGTGTAGACTCTCAGTTGTCGTGTGTTTGGAGACTTTAAATATTGAACTGTTTCGTGAATTTAAAATTAAAGGAAAAAACATAAAGAAACAGAAAATTTTAGCTAATGTTTGTTTGTTTTCCAGGTTATTCCAGTCGATCCTGAATCTACATCAGGTGTTGCAGAGCTCCGCTCATTGGCTGCTCCTACTGGACAAGAGCCAATATCACCACGACCAATCAAAGCCCTTCTTACAAATGGTGACTTTTAACTTTCCTCTGGACTTCATATATTTATGAAGAATGTTTTTAATGCTTTCATCCTTTAACGTGATTTATATCCAAGTCCATGTTTTTATTCTTGGTGGAGCAGCTTAGTTCACAATAATCCTTCTTTATGTCATACTGGGCCTTGGTGCAGATCCTCAGGCCATCCTTCATGTCCTTACTCCTTAACGAGGCTTCACTGACTTTAGTAACTTTTGAAGTTAAAAGATGAGTTTAGAAAGTTTTAATGTTAGAAACGATAAACTGTTTTAATGTTGTGACTTTCCTCCAGGACGAAGTGATCTCGGCGCAGGACGCTCTGCCTCAGAAGACCACGCTCTCACTCAGTTATGAGCCGAGGTATGTGGGTGGAACTGAAGAGGCCTTTTTTTCCCCTTTTTAAAAAAAAATTTAAGGTGTGAATTTAATAATGAAATAATCCAGTTATTTTATTATTTTACTACTGCTGTTTAAACTGAGCTTTATTAATACTTTTCATATTGTGAATGTGTAAATTGAAAAAAGGGGGGAAAGAGCAGATATAATCTCAATTTTGTATTTACAGTTCAGATTTTAGACGATCGTCTTTATGTCAAAACACAAAACAATAAAGTAGAAAAAGTGTCTTTAAAAAGTAATAAAATTTGTGAGAAAAAAATGGCGGGCCTCTGGGAGTGTAAATGTCAGTAACTCCTGTTAGCAGCTGACTTCAATCACAATTACTTCTATTGATTATTGGATTCTGCTTCAGGTCACTGATCATCTTTAACCCCACCGAGCAGCTCCGTACCTCTGTCATCAGCGTCGTCGTTGACTCTCCGGACGCACAGGTTATTGACGCTGAAACGGGCCGACAAATGTCCACTCAGATCTCTGCGGTGTGGGCGGAGCCAAGCCGGCCATCCACAGACACTTTCCAGGTGAGAACCAGCTCACTGATCAGGTTATTGATCACTGCGGTTTGCTTTAACTTCCTCTTCTCTCACTCTAGCTCTCCTTCGTGGCTGAACTTCCTCCTCTGTCACTCGTCGTGTACCATGTGACCAAAGCATCCTCTGGCTCCACCCCTCGGGCACGCTACACAGTCCATCGTCGTGGCAACCCGCTAGATATCCACACCGAGCACTTCCAGGTGTCCAGCCTTCAAGGATCTGAGGCAGACGCACCCCTGTCACTTAGCAACAAACACGTCCAGATATGGAGCTCACCTGAAACGGGCCTGCTGGAGGTCAGGATTTTCAAACTAAAAGTCTGTTGTGTGAATGTTGTTGGCAGACTTCCATGTTCTTAGTAACAAACTGTAAGAACTGATACATTCAGTAAAAGGGATTAAAAATAATGAAAATTCAAAAACATGACTATAAAATGTAAAAATCTGAGTCAAGATTGCTTCAGTCTCTGTACGATTACACCTTCAAAACCAGCAAAGAAGAAAACAAAATGTGAATAAAATCATGTGTGGTTAGATATCATCTTATTTTCAAAATAAGGTTTCTTTTTCACTAAAGCATCTTGTTGACCTGCTTTTACTTTGAAATCCAGAAGCTCCGCCTGCAGTCTGGTCTAGTCCGTAAGATCCAGGTTCAGTTCCTGTGGTACGGAACCAGAACCGGATCCCGGGACAAGAGCGGGGCCTACCTGTTCCTGCCCGCGGATGAGGGGGCTCAGGTGAGACCAGCATGAACACACCTGAAACTCTCGCTCTCGCTCTGTCCTCTGACTTGTTGTTAATGTCTCCTGCAGCTCTATACATCCTCTGAACCTCCATTGGTCCGCATCTCCAGAGGTCCCATCTTCTCTGACATCACTTCCCATTTCCCACACTTTACACACACAGTGCGACTCTTCCACCTGGATGGTAATGACTTCATTCATAAATTTATAAAATAAATTATAAATGATTGTAAATATGAATTTGCTTTGAATAATTCTTAAGCGTCTGCTCTGCCTGCCTGTCCCAGGGCATGCTGGGAAATCCCTGGAGATTTCAAACTTGGTGGACATTCGGTCTCAGGTCAATCGTGAGCTCGTCATGAAGATTGTTAGTGACGTTGCCAGTGGCAACCGCTTCTACTCTGACCTCAACGGTTTCCAGGTTTTTACACAATTCTGCTGCTTTTATTTTGAAATGCAGTCCCTTCTGTGATTCCTTACTGAGTATTGATCTGTTATCGGTATAGATGCAGCAGCGTCGAACGCTGGCAAAGCTCCCCCTGCAGGCTAACTTCTACCCGATGACATCAGCGGTATTCCTGCAGGACTCGACGAGTCGCCTGTCGCTGCTGTCGGCTCAGAGTCAGGGTGTCGCGTCACTCAAACCAGGTGAGCCCACAGTTTACATCACATTTCTATTCTGTTTTAATAGTAGCAAAATTATCAGATCAGTAACGTTGCTGTTTAAAGAGTCACTGCAGTTGGTGTGTTGACCTTTGTGACTCCTTAACTGTGCAGGTGAACTGGAGCTGGTGTTGGACCGGCGCCTGCAACAGGACGATAACCGCGGCCTTGGGCAGGGTGTCACCGACAACAAGCTGACAGCGAGCCTGTACCACTTGCTGCTGGAGGACCGTGGGGGCGGGGCTAAGGTAAGGGACAGAAATAATAGTTGGCAGAAATAATAGCTAGATTTGTCGGTGGGGCCTAGTCTCACGGCACAGTGTTTTGTGAGATCAACGCTCATCACTTTTTCGCTTTTGCTTTTAAATCAAAGGTGACTTGATTACTTTGAGCAGAAAATACTCAGAGTAAAGTTCTCGATATGACACAGAAACAAACCGCCGTCGGAGCTTCGACAATAACAACAAATATTTTTTCTCACTCTGGTTTTATTGTGTTTTTGTTCTGACAGGAAGTGGGAGGAGCCTCAGTTGATCACCTGTCGCTGCTTGCCCACCTGGCCTCCCTCTCCCTCTGCCACCCGCCCATGACCATGGTTGCTACCAGCAACAGCCAGCTGCCAAAGCTCCGCCCTTTCCAGCCACTCCACTTGTCGCTGCCGTGCGACATCCACCTGCTGAACCTGAGGACGCTGGAGGACACGCAGGTGAGAGATGCACCTGGAGTACAGGTATAAAATAAATGATGAGATAATAACCTGTGTGATGTCACTGCGGTAACGGTAAGGAAACACCTGTGGCTCAAACTTCCTGTCAAGGTTCTCGATCAGCGCGAATCGATCACCTGTGTTTGTGTAAACAGGAAGCAGATACACCATCACAGGAAACCGCCCTGTTCCTCCACAGGAAGGGGTTTGACTGTAACACCGCCCCCGAGCCGGCGCCTCAGTGCACGTGGAGCGAGCATGAAGAGGTGATTGTTAAGTCTAATTGTTGAATGTTGCCATTGTGTTTCTTAAATTTGTATAGTCTTAGTTTAAGCAGTAGGATCAAAGCCATCCCTTTGATCCTGACCACCTCTCCAGCCACTCTGTGCTGGGGGAGGTTTTATTGTAGATACATCCTA